GAAAAAGCCAGAAGTGGCACTGTGGCTCAAGTGGTAGAGCGCTAGCCTTGAGCTGAAGAGCTGAGGGACAGCACCCAGGCCCAGAGTTCAGGCTCCACAACTGGATACAAAAAAAAAAAAGAAAAGAAAAGAAAATGATAAAGAAAATAACAAGGTGATAATTCAGTCTTCTACATAAAAATTTCAAATGAAAAAAGTTGTAATTATTTTCATCTTTTGTAACACCCTTCAGAACAGTATGAAGTTGGTTCATGGAATTATTACCACTGAGAGTGTTGTAGATGATACTGATCTCCAGTATGAAGGAACAGGGAATATCGATGATGTTCCTGAGCCCATTGCTAACGTTGTGCCATAACCAAGGAAGTCATTTGTGTTAAGTAGGTTGTCCATCTCATATAAAGAGAAAATAAATGTATTACCTATGCAGAACACTTCAGATACATTCTCCAACAAACAAGAGCAAGGACCAGAGCACCTGTGTTGCAATACGTGCACCCCCCTCACCCCCCCCCCCGCTCCCCATAGCTATTATCAAGTCTAACCTCCTAGAGGTAGTCACAGTCACAAAGCTCTTACCCGGGGAGCGGCTGCCGCTGCTGGCATGCCCCTCGGTGTTCTCCCCTCTGTCTTCTACAGCACCTGTGGAGTTGAGACATATGTGTGAACGGAACAATATTTTTAAAGTCTTAACAGTTTGGTTTTAATTGAGTTTCAGTAATTAAATTCAAATTTAACTTTTTCAAATTTATACTTATAATAGAAATGTTATGGTTATATTTCTATGAAATTATCTCTGTTCTTGAAGTTATTTCTGTTCTTATATTCAATATTATAAATTATACCTGTTCATAAATATCTGTTTATTATACTTGGAATAATACTTACCACTAAGGTTTCTGATAGCTCTTTCTGGATAGGAGGGTGTTGAGATTTAACAGATTTCTATCTGCATTTCTTTTTTTTGTTCTACTCTTTTGTTTGATTTTAAAATTTCAATCATATATCTTATAAAAATAAGGAACCAGTCCTCCCACAAAAAGTTATGTCTTTTGTTCCCTGTTATTGGACATGTAAGAATTGGAGGCAAAGACATGTGAATTTGGAGAAATCTAAGGCCAGCTTGCTTTCCAAGCTCAAGATCAACCATACTACATAGAAAAAATAAATTAAAAAATAATAAGGAACCGTTTAAAAATTAGAAACTTTTACTGACCACCACACACAAAAAGGCAGACGTGGGTGTAATAGTTCTTAAGTAATAGAGGAAAAAGAGCAAAAGCTTAGGCTTTGTCAAGCTTTGATGACATTGGTTTTGTTAATTGCATTCTTTATTTTGTTTAGGTCATGCATATCCGGAAATTACTTCAGAAAATGGACCGTCCAAATGGCCTTTATCCAAATTATTTAAACCCAAGAACAGGGCGCTGGGGTCAGTGTAAGTATTTCTAGTTCAATCGATGCTTTGTTTAAAGGTTACTTGAAAGCTGTGAGGTGTTAGAAAATTTGGCTTCGGTCTGCTCCTGTGTTCTTCCTGTGCCATTACCTTTGGCAAGTCTAACCTGTCCTAGGTTCAGCTCTTCTACTTGTAAAGTGGAAACGGTAACACTTAACGACTTTGCTGAAAGTTAGTGTGTTAGTGTAAGGGGTATTCTAACTAGTATCTTCATGGAAATAAGAACACAGCTTAGGATAAGTATTAAATCAGGAATCTGAGACACAATGAGCATTTTGACTGAGTAGAAATGGGACATTCGGTGGAGCACTAGCTCATGCCTATAATCCTAGCTGCTCGGGAGGCTGCGGTCTGAGGATCCCTGTTCAAAGCTAGCCCAGACAGACAAAGCCAAAAGACTTACCTCCTACTAACCTCCTCTGAAAGAGGTAGAGATGTGCTAGCCTTCAAGTGGATGTACTAGATTTCAGCAAAAAAGCTCATCAGGGGCAGCATCCAGGGTCCTGAATCCAAGCCTAGTATTACTGACACACATATACCCCCCCCAAAAACAGTTAAAATGAAAAAGGCTCTCTGACAAACTGTATCTACTTATTCCTTTCAGCAGAAAATGTCCTGCTATCTCTTATTTACCAGGCTCTGTGCCAAGTTCTAGCTTGAGACTAGAGATAAAAAGAAGAATAGAGAGGTGTGACCTGAATTTAGGGAGAATTTAGGCTAGCAGGACCAGTATGAATCTTGGTTTTTTTTTTTTGTCGGCCGTGGGGCTTGAACTCTGGGCCTGGGTGCTGTCCCTCAGTTCTTCAGCTCAAGGCTAGTGCTCTACCACTTGAGCCACAGCACCACTTCTGGTTTTCTGGTGGTTTATTGGAGATAGGAGTCTCACGGTCTCTCCTGCCCAGGCTGGCTTTGAACCGCAGTCCTCAGATCTCAGCCTCCTGAGTAGCTAGGATTACAGGCGTGAGCCACCAGCGCCGGCTGTTTTTTTTTTTTTTTAAATTAAGGTTTTTTTTTTTTTTTTTAATGGTGATGGCTGGGAATGTGGCTTAGTGGTAGAGTACTTGCCTGACATGCATGAAGCCCTCAGTACCACATACACAGAAAAAGTTAGAAGTGGTTCTTTGGCTCAGGAGATAGAATGCTAGCCTTGAGCAAAGGAAGCTCAGAGACAGTGCCCAGGCCCTGAGTTCAAGCCCCAGGACTGGCTAAAAAATGGAGAAAAAAAAAGAATGCTTATAAAGAAATATAGCATGGGGGCTGGAAAGGTGGCTCAGTGGTAGAACGCTTGCCTTGCATGCCTGAGGCCCTGGGTTCGATTCCTCAGCACCACATAAGCAAAAAGAAAAAAGCCGGAAGTGGCGCTGTGGCTCAAGTGGTAGAGCGCTAGCCTTGAGCTGAAGAGCTGAGGGACAGCGCCCAAGCCTAGAGTTCAGGCCCCACGACCGGACCCAAAAAAAAAACAAAAGAAATATAGCATGTATACATAGAATTTTAGTATTTACATGTTGTGCTAGTACTGTTCTCTTTTGAAAGGTAGACAAACTAAATGTGTTACAACTCTGCCTCTAATAAAACATGTTTGGGTCATTTTTTGAGATTAACGAGCATAATGAAGTAGTAAATAAAAAACAAGTTATGATCTTTCAATTTGGTATACTGAAAACACTTAAATTCTGCCAGTTCTCCCTGCCTGAGTACCAAGAGGAGACCTTCACTGTGGCATTGTCTTTAAGCTGCTTTTCAGGATGCTGTCTGTATTTCCGGAAGGTCAGACTGGCTGGTCTGTGCAGTTAGATCTGTCATAGTCTGGATGCCACCTTTGAATTCGTCTCATGTATTTTTTTTCCCTTGAGATTCTTTGCATGCAGCTCACTGTTCTCTTTAATTTGCAGAAAATGTAAGGTCTGATACCGCAACTGAATAGAAATGATACTTTCTGAAAAAGCAGACCCCTGAGAATTGCATTACTAAACTATAAAAAAAAAGAAGTTTTCTTTTTCCATGAAAGAAAAACTGGATTAATGACTACTTGGTGATTTAGATGAATGAATTGCAGATTTTTACTCCTTAGAATTGTATTAAGATTTGGGAATATTCTAACATCAGAGGCAAAATTATGCTTAGTTCCTTTTGTACGTCTTGCCAGAATAGAGTTCATTTCAAAACTATTTAAATATCTTAAGATAAAAATCACTAAAATTCTAAATATGGCAGGACAGATAACCAGAGCAGCCTTTTCTAAGTGTCCCCTAAAGAAGAAACAAAGGAAAAGGTGTCCATATTGCTGTGTGCAAGTGTGTTAGTCTCTTGTGTTTCCTAACAATTAAAAGGCAGTGTCAGCCAGGCACTGGTGGCTCATGCCTAAAATCAGAGCTACTAAAAAGGATGAGATCTAAGGATTACCGCTCAAAGCCAGCCAGGACATTAAAATCATAAGACTGCTTCTCCAATTAATCTCCAAAACACCACTTAAGCCATACCTCAAGTGGTAGAGCAGCAACTCAAAAAACTAAGGAAGAGTTTGAGGCCCTGATGCAGGCATGTGTGCATGCGCACACACACACATACACACACACACAAGCATACTGTCAAAACTAGATAACACTTCATGAATACCAAGATGGTTAAAAATCCAAAGGACAGTGGGGTGCCCATGGCTCACGTGTATAATCCTGGCTCCTTAGGAGGCTGACATCTGAGGATCATGGTTCAAAGCCAGCCTGGACAAGAAAGTCCGTGGCACTCTTTATTTCCAAGTAAACATAAAAAAACCTGGAACTAGAGCTGGCCTTCAGTGAAAAATTGTTTAGAGAAAATGCTCAGACCTTTAGATCAAGCCCCAGTACCAGCACAAAAAAAATCTAAAGGATGGGAAATAAAAGTTGGCAAAGATGTGGAAAAATTGGAACCCTTTTTCTCGGTGGTGGGATGTGACATGTTGCAGTCTCTGTGAAAACTTGGCAGTTCCTTGAAAAGTTAAACAGACAATTACATACGAACAGCAATCAACTCCTACACATACACCCAAAAGATTTGGAACAGGAACCTAAGAAACGGTATGCCCGTATCCACAGCAGCATCACTTACAGTGGGCAAGAGGTGGAAACAGCCAGCCAGGGTTTGAATGTGGTGTGACCACTAATAAAGAGTTCCCGAGCTAGAGTCCCAGGTCTGAGTGTGGTGTTTTTTTGTTTTTTGTTTTTTGGTAGGTTGTGAGGCCTGAACTCTGGGCCTGGGCTCTGTCCCTCAGCTCTTCAGCTCAAGGCTAGCACTCTACCACTTGAGCCACAGCGCTACTTCCGGCTTTTTTCTTTTTGCTTATGTGGTGTTGAGGAATCGAACCCAGGGCCTCATGCATGCAAGGCAAGCACTCTACCACTGAGCCACCTTCCCAGCCTGAGTGTGGTGTTTTTGAGGGGTGGAATCGTTCAGAGGTTAGGGACTAGCCTTATTAGGCAATGCTTTCATAGGATGAGCTAGATCTTAGAGAGAGGCGGCAGCTCCACTCCTTGGCTCCTGCTTACAGCCACCTTTCCTCTCTGTTTCTCTGCCGTGTTGTGGCATTAGGTCTTCCCCAAAGCAGAGGCTGTTGGCCTCCCTGATCTTGAACCTCCAAAACTAGAACTAAATAAATCCCTGTGCCCTTGGCATTTTGTGCAGCAGCAGCAAACGGGAATAGCCCACGTGCCCAACAGGGAATGTGTAAACAATGTGATATAAACGTGCAGTGGAGTATTACTCAGCTCTAAAAAGTAATGGGGTTTTGACATGTGATCCACTATGAGTGAGCCTTGAAATTGTTATCTTGAGAGAACAAAGCCTGCCACAAGAGGATTGTTTTATGATTCTACTTACGCCAGGTATCTGGAGTGGTCAGATTCATGGAGTTAGTTGATGAGCGGTAAGCAGGGGCTTTGGTGAGAGAGGAATGGGGAGGAGAACACCTGCTTTCTATGGATTGGCAGCGATGGTGGTCATGGTGCGTACGTCACATGACTGATATCACCAAAGGATACAATTGAAAGCATGAAAATGGCAACTTTCTTATTCCACTTCACCAGTAAAAAGCCCAATGAAAACAGCTCGTTCTTCACTGTTTTGCCCCACAAAGTAAATTCAGGCGACTTTGTAATACATTCCTGCCAGCAGTTACTAATTTGGAGAATGCTTTAGAAAGAGCTGTTGACCGGTTATTTTGGCAAAGGTCTTTGAAGCCCCGTGGAGCTGCCCTTATAGCGGTTGGGCAGCTGCAGTCCTCACTGAAGTGTACAATGTGTTCTTTCTCATGGTTTTTCTGTTTTATATCAGCTTCTGAAAAGTATATCACATTCCATTATTATCTTTGAGCAGTATACATCTGTCACATCTATAAATAACGTGCAAAACAAACATTGAATTGAACAGAAATTCAACAATCCAGCTTTGGCTAACTGTATTATAATTAGAGTAATGATAATGTCTGATGTGCACATAGCAATCACCATGTATAATTACTGGTAATTACCCTCAGGAAAAGTACTTGGCAGCAGATAGAAAGGAATCTAGTAAGGAACCTAAATTTAAAAGCACATCTTGAGTTTTGTTGTTTTTAGTGATTAATATGAAGAAAATATAGGAAGTCAGTCATTACAGACTCATTAAATTTTATAGCCCTAGATTTAGAATTGTGGAAAAAAATAAAAATGGGTATACTGTTTGGAATTATGAGACCTATCTTGGCTTTCCAGCTTAATTATTTAACTAGGTTATTGAACTTCTCTATGCTTCTGCTTCGTCTCCTAATTGAAGTTACTTAATAGGATGATTGAGTCATATTTGTGAGCCACTGTGTTTAAAAATGTTTCACATTAATTTTTATTCTAGAATTTCCTGTAGGAACACTACAAGAAATAGCTTCTATTAGAGATTTTTTCATGACTGATTTCAAGGATGCTGGGATAGGTCGTGCAAACCATGCATGCTTATGAATGTTCTATATGGGAATACAGTTTCTCAATGTCAAGAGGCCCTGAGCTGGCATGGCTCAAAGTGGGAGTTGAGACTCAAGTAGTAGAGCAGAAAGAGCCTACTGAGAGCATGAGATTCTTTTTTGTTTTGTTTTGGTCAGTCATGGGGCTTGAACTCTGGGCCTGGGCACTGTGCCTGAGCCCTTCAGCTAAAGGCGAGTGCTCTACCTCTTGAGCCACAGCACCACTTCCATTTTTCTGATGGTTTATTGGAGATAAGAGTCTCATGGACTTTCCTGCCTGGGCTGGCTTTGAATCACGATCCTCAGATCTCAGCCTTCTGAGTAGCTAGGATTACAGGCGTGAGCCACCAGCGCCTGCGGAGCATGAGATTCTTGAGTTCAAGCCCTGGGACTGGTACTGGTGCACACCACACACACAAACATATACACACAATTGTTTTCCTAATTGTCGACTTTTCAGATTTCAACATATATTCAGGATACAAGTCCTTTAGGAAAAATACTCTTGACTACCAAGTATTTTTTCTCTGTTCGTGGCCTGTCTTTTCATTCATTTGTTAATATTGAAGAGTAGGAAGTTCAAATTTGCTCTCCATTTTTGTCAGATTTTTTTAATTGACTTTTTTGGTGTCACCCTTGTTTCTAAAATGTCCTAAGTAAGTTTTTTTTGTTGTTGTTTTGTTTTTTCCCAGTCCTGGGGCTTGAACTCAGGGCCTGGGCGCTGTCCCTGAGCTTCTTTTGTTCAATCAAGGCTAGCTAGCACTCTACTACTTGAGCCAAAGCATCACTTCTGGCTTTTTCTATTTATGTGGTACTGAGGAATAGAACCCAGGGCTTCATGCATGCTAGGCATGCTAGGCTACTGCTGAGCCACATTCCCAGCCCTGAAGTACGTTTTATATTCAGGTCTGTCATCCATTTTGAGTGGATTTCTTATAGGGATCACCTTTTGTATGCGTGTGGATGTCCTAGTGTTTGAGGACAATTTGTTAAAAGGTAGTCACTTCCTCCACTGCATTTCCTTCCTATCTTTTGTTTAAAATTAGTGGTTTAGGGGCTGGGAAGGTGGCTCAGTGGTAGAGTGCTTGCCTTGCATGCATGAGGCCCTGGGTTGGATTACTCAGCACCACATAAGCAAAAAGAAAAAAAAGCTAGAAGTGACGCTGTGGCTCAAGTGGTAGAGTGCTAGCCTTGAGCTAAAAAGCTGAGGGACAGCGCCCAGGCCCATAGTTCAGGCCCCACGACTGGACCTCCCCCCCCAAAAAAAATTAGTGGTCTAAGTTGGCTGTGGTGGTACATACTTGCAATCTAACGCTTAGAACACCAGCCTGGGCTATACCGTGAGACCCTGCTTTAAAACAACAACAACAACAATAACAACAAAATTGTCCATTTAGGTATGGGTTTGGTTTTGAACTCTGTTCTCTCCTATTGGCCTGTTTATCATTATTCAGATACTTTTTTTGTTTTTGGTTGGTCGTGGGGCTTGAACTCAGCCTGGCGCTGTCCCTCAGTTCTTCTGCTCAAGGTGAGCGCTCTACCACTTGAGCCACCGCTCCACTTACATTTTCTGGTGGTTCATTGGAGAGAAGTCTCATGGATGCTGCTGCCCAGGCTGGCAGATCTCAGCCTCATGGGTAGCTAGGTTATAGGTATGATCCAGTAGTGCCCAGCTACCGTCATGTTCTGAGTAGTATCTGTTTGTAAGTCTTGGAATCCATAGTGTTGGCCCTTTAGTTGTTTTGCTTTATATCAAAATTGTTTTTGCTGCCCAGGTTCTTTGCATTTCCATTTTATTACTATTTTTTTTCTGTCTTCTATTATTTTCTGCTTGTGTTGCTGAGGATCTAACCTTGGGTCTCCTGGTCAAGCACTCCATGAGCCATGTTCCCCATCCTTCCATGTTAACTCAGAATTGTCTTCCAGAAAAGTCTGCGGGGACTTTGATTATAATTGCCTAGGATCAATGGACTATGGACTTCTTTTTTTTTTAACTGTATTTTTTTTTTTTGTCTTTTTTGGTACTGGGGATCGAACCCAGGACATTGCACTTGCTAGGCAAGCGCTTTGCCACTGAGCTACATCCCAGCCTGGACTTGGACTTCTTTTTTTTTTTTTTTTTTGGTGTCCGGTCGTGGGGCCTGAACCCTGGGCCTGAGAGCTGTCTCTCAGCTCAAGGCTAGCGTTCTACCATTTGAGCCACAGCACCACTTCTGGCTTTTTTCTTTTTGCTTATATGGTGCTGAGAAATCGAACCCAGGGCCTCAGGCATGCAAGGCAAGCACTCTATCACTGAGCCAACTTCCCAGCCCCCTTGGACTTCTTAATACTAGCAGTTAGCATGAAATATTTCTGCCTGTTCATTTATTTAGGTGTTCCTTTATAATTTCTCAAAAGTAGTTTACAGCTTGCAGGGTATAGATCTTTCATATTTTGCCAGATTTATCTGTAAATATGTCATGCTTTATGTTATAAACTGTGTTTTTCTTTCTGTCTTTTATGGCTGTTGCTAATATAGAAGAATTAGTTGATGTTAGTATATTAATCTTGTATATGTAAATTGCTGTACTCAATAAATTGTTCTAGTAATTTGTAAATACCATTTGAATTTTCTATGTAGATCGTATTTTCTCCAAATAAGAGACAATTTTAGTTTTTAATTTCTAATCTAACTGCTGTTTAATTTTTTTATTGTTGTTGGTGGTAGTAGGGCTTGAACTCAGGGCCAGGTGCTCTCCCTGAGCTTTTTTTTGCTCAAGGCTGGTGCTCTGCTTCTTTTGAGCCATAGCTCCACTTCTGGTTTTTTGGTGGCTAATTGGAACTAAGTCTCACAGACTTCCTACCTGAGCTGGCTTTGAACCTCAGTTCTCAGATCTCAGCCTCCTGAGTGAGTAGCTAGGATTATAGATATGAGGCTATACACCAGACCCAGCTGTTTAATTTTTTTTTGGGAGGGGGTCCAGTCATGGGGCCTGAACTCTGGGCCTGGGTGCTGTCGCTCAGCTCTTCAGCTCAAGGCTAGCGCTGTACCACTTGAGCCACAGCGCCACTTCCAGCTTTTTTCTTTTTGCTTATGTGGTGCTGAGGAATCGCACCCAGGGCCTCATGCATGCAAGGCAAGCGCTCTACCACTGAGCCACCTTCCCAGCCCCCAGCTGTTAAATTTTTATGCTTAGTTGTACTTGCTAGAACTTAATGTTGAAGAACATTAGTGTTGGTGAACATTCTTGTCCTGTTCCTGATGTTAGAGAGCACCCTGTCCTTCATCATCAAGGGAGTTGCTTTCCTTCCTTCCTTTCCTTCCCTCCCTCCCTCCCTCCCCCTTCCTCCTCCCCTCCCTCCCTTCCTTCTTTCCATCTGTCTGTCATCTTGCTATCTCTATCAATCCATTTATCCATCTGTCTCCTATTATCTCATTGAAGGAGTTTGCTGGGGTTGGTGAGAGGTGATTTTTTTTGTTGTTTCTGTTTTTTTAAATCAGAATGATGGTCAGATTTTGTCAACTTGTTTTTATTGTCATGTTTGCATTGTTAATACAGTAAGCTACTTTGATGGATTTTTAATATTATATCTATCCTGAACTCAATAACGTTTAGTGAGGTTTCATTTTGTTCACTGACATATTACTGTGTAAGTTTCCTTATTTGTCTATTTTAGTATGCTTGTTGTGATCTTATAGGATTATTAATGAGGTGATGTCTCATCTTCGCTTTCTCCTGAAGACATTCTTAGTTCTTTAAATATGCTTGGAATTTGCTGGGTTAGCCATCTGGCCTGGCATTTTTTTTAGAAAAGTTTTAGTGTTTTGTGTGTGTGTGTGTGTGTGTGTGTGTGTGTGTGTGATACACACCTTTTAATTCATTTTTTCTGATTGAAAAAAAAATCTGTTCTTTCTCAAGTGGATTTTAGTCATTCTGTCTTTTCAATAATTGTTTACCAAAACGTCTTAACTTGTTGGCATAAATTTGTTTTTAATACTCCCTAATGTCCCTTTTGTCCCTGTAGATTCTATCTTACTGATTTTTGCCTCAAACTTTATAATGTATTTTTCATTTGGGTTGTTGTTTTGGCTTTTATAGTGTCTTAAGGTTGGAACTGAGGTTTTTTTGGAGGGTGGTTAATTGGAGATAAAAGTCCAGTTGCATATTTTTCTGCCAGATTGACTTCTCTTCTCCCTTGTTATAGATCACACGTCTGTTGGGGGTCTGGGGGACAGTTTTTATGAGTACTTGCTGAAAGCGTGGCTGATGTCGGATAAAACTGACCACGAGGCCAGGAAGATGTATGACGATGCTGTGGAGGTAGGTGTGGGAGGCCTACTTATACCATGTGTGTCTCATACTCACACACAGCACCACACTACACTGTAGGGTTTGAATGGAAATCCTCCTTTTGTCTGGTCTTTGTGACATTTTAAGGAAATTGTTGAAGAATTTAGTATACCGTATTACTGAAATTTTAGCTACTTTTAATTAGTGTCTGTAGAGATTGGAATGTCTAGTGACTGTGCATTTCCATCAACATTTTTTTTCCCCAAAGAACTACTTGAGTCCACACTTGGCGAACATCATGGGTAAACACTACAGTAGTGTCAGCATACTTTACAGTGCTTTTTATGGGCAAGGATTGTTCTCTTTGTCCTTATTACCACTTCACAATAATGTACTGAAGGTCACACAGCTAGCTAGTAGGTGACGAGGGCTGGAACTGAACCATCTTGTTATAGATCTGTCCTCCTTGCTGTGTGGCTGTAGTTCATCTTCATGTGACCTCACAGAACAGTGTTTTCACAGGTTCAGCTGGGGCAGGGTCATTCCAGAATGTTGTCAGTATCGGTGCTGTTAAGTTAGTTAGTAAAGATGTGTTCGACTTCTTCTGTTTACTAGTGGTGGGAGGGTTGAGACAGGGTCTCACCAGAGCCCATGCCAGCCTTGAACTTGGGATCCTCCTGGATCAGCCAGGAGTAATAATATAATATTGTCATATACAACATTGTCATATATATCATATATAATATTTCTGAGTCCAAAAGAAAACTAGTAATAAAAAGCCCAATTTTTTACTTTTATACTAGCAAGTTCCTAAGGACAAGTTGACTTATAGGTAATTATAGCCTAGTAAGATATGTTGTAAAATATAATAGAAACATTTATAACAAGTCCTTAGACATTTATGGAGTATCTCATATACAGAGCATGCTAGCTGTGAAGTCCACAAGATGGAAACGTATGCCCTGTGCTTGTTAGATGTGTTAAAGACTATCAAGGTAATGGAAACAGCTGCAGAAACTTATAGTTCAGTGAGAATCTTTGACCACTTTTGGCTCTCAGCCACCTCCCATTCCTCCATGCAATTATTAAGTTATAAGAGCACCATTCAGCTGGGCGCTGGTGGCTCACTTCTGTAATCCTAGCTACTCAAGAGGCTGATCTGAGGATCACAGTTCAAAGCCAGCTCGGGCCGGAAAGTCCATTAGACTCCATCTCCAATTAAGCACCAGAAAATTGGAAGTGGTGCTGCTGTGGCTCAAGTGGTAGAGCACTCGCCTAGAGCTGAAGAGCTAAGGGACTTTGCCTAGGCCCAGAGTTTAATCCCCACAACCAACAACAACAACAACAAAAAAGACCAAGAACACTATTCATTCTTAAAATTATTTATTGAGCACTTATTGAGTTCATTGTACATGATAGCCTTCTGCAACAAAAGATGGTGAGTAAGGAATCATCTACACAGTCCTGTGACATGTGCGTCACCATTACAGAGTACAGAATCAGCTTTTCCAAGGATGATTGTTCTTGTCTGAAAACAGCCCACACTAAATACGTGGATTTACTCTTGAAAGAAGGATTCTTATTACTCTCATGAAGAAATGGTGTAATTAGGCCTAATCATACCCAGTAATTTTTTCCAAAGAGAACTGAATGAGTACAGTTTCTTACAGTCTTCCAAAGAGATATTTGTGAGGCGTAGAGAATTAATTCATAGCCCCTCTCAGCAGAGTTTGAAAGCATAGTCCAAAGAAACAAAGCTCTTAAAAGGTCTCAGCTTCACAATGAGCTGTGATTGTTATTCTCTACTATTTGTTATACTCAGCTTAATGGAAAACACCTCCCTCACCACCCACGTCTTAGTAAAGCCGACATGTGTGGAGGGCAGATTTGACAACGGGACCCTTCATCTCTGCACCACACCTAGATAAATGCTTGAGTTTGAGAAGTAAAGGGCTGAGGATAAAGAGTTAGAATTTAATTTGAAAGCTTTGTAATGTGCCTAGTAGGCTCAGGTGGCAGAATGACATGGACAGTGAGGAACCTTTCTGTTTACTTATGAGCTTGGCTGTTTCAGTTTTTACCAGAAGAAATGGACAAGCCTTTAGGTTATAACTTTTTATCATGATCTCATGATAGCCTTACCATAATTTTTACACATTTCATTCAGCTCAGGAAAACAAAGGCTGCAGTGGTAATGTTATGCAGAGAGATACTCTACGCCTCATTTCTCCTTCCTCTTTGTGCTGGTGAGCCCAATATCTGTCCCACATTATATTCGAGATCAATCACTGTTCTAAAACTTACTGTAAATTACTCTCCCAATTTGTGACATAATACCATACTACCAGCATTTTTGATGCCAGACATAAATGTTTGGACCCCAGCAGTTTGCTTCTAAGATTCCCAATCTTTGTTTCTCACAGGCAATAGAAAAACACCTGATCAAGAAGTCCCGAGGAGGGCTGGTCTTCATCGGCGAGTGGAAGAACGGACACTTGGAGAAGAAGATGGGCCACTTGGCCTGCTTTGCCGGTGGCATGTTTGCCCTGGGTGCAGACGGCTCCAGAAAAGACAAAGCCGGCCACTACTTAGAGCTAGGGGCAGAAATTGCACGAACTTGTCATGAGTCATACGACAGGACTGGTAAGAATAGCCTCAGGCTAATCACTTAGTCTATAAAATCACTTCTAAATGGAAAAAAGTATGTCCAAGAGTTAGAAATACTGTTCACTTTAAAATATTTGACATAAGCACAATAAGTCATTTTCTTAGGAACTTTTAAGTTTAATTCTAGGAATGCATTTCCCTATATAATTTTTTTAAACATTCAGAACTCTGCTATTTTTATTTTTCCCTTCTAATTTTGAAGTAATTATTTAAAGATAAGTACCTATTTGGGGATATAAAAGTAAGCACTATTTTAGTATAGTACTAATAATATCTTAATATTGTCGTATAAAAAGGATCCATTTTTAGCCATTCATTTCGACTTCTATAAAACTGCTTATTCAAAAGAACACAAACTTGACTAATTTAGGTCATACTGCTTTCCCTACATGATTGAGAAAATAAAAATAATAAAAAATGAATAGTAGTTACCTTAAATATATAATTGGTATCCCGCTACCTGGTAGTTTATTATTTACTCAGTTCACTAGTGTTTGAGTTGTTTGTGCTTTTGATTAAGAACTGTCAAGATTCTACTTTGAGAAAGAATGCAATGTTTCCTGACCTTCCAACTGTATCTGGAAAATGAGATGATTTCTAGTGGTCTGTAGGGAGTCCAACAGTCTTACTCTTTTCAGAATGTTTGAAGCATCTGTTTATATACACTCTTAGCCAGCCACTCAGTACAGGCTTGGTATCAAAATTACATGGAAGGCTATTGAATTTCTAAAACAGTGCCTAAAAGCACTCTTAACAATTCAGCAATGGAAGAGAGCTGACAAACACTGGACTGTACTCCCATCGTTTTCTCTGGCTTTAAAAATGCATTTTTCTCACCTGGATGCTGATGGCTCATGCGTGTAATCCAGCTACTCAGGAAGCTGAGATCTGAGGATCATGGTTCAGAGCCAGCCCAAGCAAGAAAGTCTGTTGAGACTCTTATCTGCAACAAACTATTCAGAAAAAGCCAGAAGTGCTGTGACCCAAGTGGTAGGGTGCTAGTTTTGAGCAGAAGCAGCTCAGAGACTCAGAACCTGAGTTCCAGCCCCAGGACCAGGAAAAAATAAAAATAATAAAAAATAAAATGCGGGGGAGGAGGGGGGCCCAGAAATAAAAGGAGAAAAAAAATAATAAAATATATTTTCACTATGAAATAATGAGTAATGTAAAAGCCTAAAATCTAGAAATTTCTATGCCTATTTCAGAAGTAGAGCTGTTGGTTTAAGGAAATAACTGAATTTCTTTTTAGGATTATTTGTAATTAGCTATGATGACACAAAATTTGCCCTAGTTCATAAATCTGTCATGTTATTTGTAGTAGTAAGGAATTGTATTCCTGATGAATTTGATACCTCAGCTTTATGACTGAATAAATCAGTATTCTATTGTTTTAAAAAATGTAAGTCAAATCGACACTAGAACAGTGTTGCTTTATAGTTAACATTGGTATGTCGTGCAGATTAAGTCCATGACCTAAGTTACAAACAGCAGCTACTTTATTTTCCATGCTGATGATAGGGACTGTCAGTTATGCATTTAAAATATAGCCTAGATGCTTATGGCTCATTCCTGTAATCCTAGCTGGTTAGGGGGCTGAAATCTGAAGATTGCAGTTATAATCCAGCCTCAGGATAGGAAAGTCTGTGAGACTCTTAATCACCAAAAAGCCAGAAGTGGAACTGGCTCAAGTGATAGCCTTGAGCAAAAATAAACAAATGTCATGAACAGCCCCCCACCCCACCACACACAAATGTAGTCAAGAGTAATATACCCAAAGACCAGGTAAGGACTTTTTAGACAGGGATATTTTATGTAGATTTTGATCAGAAATCAAATAATAGCTCTAAATCATAGAATTTAATAAAGCAGACATACTCAAAATAGTATGTGGTGTAGTTGTTACAGTTAATTATTTACTGAGTTGAATGGATCACCTGTTGGGCATGGCTCATTAGTTTTCTGGGTACTTACAGGTTAAAGTATGACAAGATACAGATTTCTCTTGCCTCTTAGAAATTCATAGGATACCAGAGGTGTAACAGGATTGCCTTAACTTGTATTCTGCATTCACATTTCATCCTGACAGTGTGTACTCCTTGTTCTGCTTGTTTTCACATGGTCAGCCAGTCCATAAAGCATGACTGATTGGTGTTCTGTATTTATTCACAGTTTTTTTCTTGTCTTCCATTTTGACTTAGATCATTTAGTTAGGAAGGACAATCCTGGTTTTCTTAACTTCCCTGCAGGTTTTTTATCTCTGCTCTATTTTCTTATAACTGTGCTATAAAATTTTGCCACTATATTTAAGAATTTTTGCCAGGTGCCAGTGACTTATGCCTGCAATCCTAACTACTCTGGAGGCTGAGATCTGAGGCTCTCAGTTCAAAGCCAACCTGGGCAGGAAAGTTCATGAGACTCTTATCTCCAATAAACCTCACAGAAAACCAGAAGTGGTGCTTTGGCTCAAGAAGTAGAGCACTAGCCTTGAGCTGAAGAGCTGAGGGACAGCACTTAGACCCAGAGTTCAAGCCCTATGACCAACAAATAGAATTACCATGTCCTTCTCCTTGATAGTTCTTTCAGCTACGTTTATAACATAATTAATAATGCCTTGAGATTTCACATTTACTTGTTTTTGGAATTTTGTTAACTCAAAATTTAGTGATCTTAATATATCCTGCCAAGGGTTTGTGGCAAACATGACTGGTGTGTTCGTGGTGGTGAGCCGTGCATCAGTGGTGGGGACAGACGTTGTGGAGAAGGAGTTCTGTGTGGAGAGGGAGCCTAACCCCATCAGAGGCCAGAGCTCTCAGGCCTGCTCATCTCCTAAAGTTGCTGCCTCCTCATGGCCACGACGTAGGCAGCCTGGCACCTGTGGAAATGGTCAGACTACACAAGACCCTCACTCAGCCTTTCCTGTAGTTCTCTATTCTAGTCTAGTTGAAGAGCATTTGTCATCAAAGAAATTATACATAATACTGAAATACATGTGGAATGTCTGTGTTTTATTTAAATTGATAAATAGGGAAGTTGCTGCCTGCTGAAATTCTTGGAGATTGGTTGTATATATAAAGACTCTAAGGGAAGAGTGATTCTTTTTCAAATTGCCTTAAGTTTTATAATACTTCTTATATATTAAAATTTGCTTTTAAAAAGAAGATAATTCTGCAACTGTTTTGTCGTATTGAATGTATTACATGTATGGGAAAAAATTGGCATACTAAAAGTGTATCTTAACTTTGCATAAGATGGACTACATAGGCTGTCCATTTGTTCTGAAGGAGTCACAGGCTCTCAGAGGTGACTAGTTCAGCAGTGTGTTGATGTGTGTTCTGAGAAATATTTCATGCCAGAATAAATAGGAATATTTATAAACCTATAAGAAGACCAAAACGGTTCTTTTTAAAGTGACTCTTTTGTAAAGGGATGGCAAGAAAATGGCAGCAAACTCCCATTCTTCAGGGAAAAAGCTCTTGCAAAGTAATGCAAATGTCTTCTGCTCGTTTGTTTCTCTTGGCCTGTCATAGCACTAAAGCTGGGTCCGGAGTCCTTCAAGTTTGATGGTGCCGTGGAGGCCGTGGCTGTGAGGCAGGCTGAGAAGTATTACATCCTGCGTCCAGAAGTGATTGAGACCTACTGGTACCTGTGGCGATTCACACACGACCCAAGATACCGGCAGTGGGGCTGGGAAGCTGCACTGGTAACTAAGCCCATGTCTCCTTTATCTGTGAGGGTATTAACCAGCCCATGTCTCCTATATCTGTGAGAGTATTAACCAGCCCTTATCCTGGTGTTTTGCTTTGAGTCACTTCACGTTTGTCTGATGAAGAAACTCTTCAAAAGTTGCCCTGAGTGTAGAATTCTCCGTTCGCTGCTAGGAGTGCTTCCTACTGGTCATCACTCTGTTATTAACATCCTCTTCCCTTTCTTTCACAAGGGCCTGGCCACACAGGAGAGGCAAAAGTGGCCAGTGCAGTCTCTTTAAAGTAGTTTCATCTTCTCTGAAGGTGACCTTCCATTCACTTTACTCAGTTCCTCAGTAAGTCACTCTAGGAAGACTGGGTAAATTGTTAAAATTTTTCTAGACTGAGCCTGGTACCATAAATTCAGCCTCAACACATTCAAATATGTTAGCACACTTTTCTTAATGTAATCTGTATTTTGCTTTTTAAAAATTAAATCGGGGTTAGGGAAGTTGCTCAGTAGTAGAGTGAATGTTTAGTGTGTGAGAAGCCCTGAGTTTGATCCTAGCACCCCCTAGAAGAAGTTCTAATGATACAATTTTCTTTAAGAAATTAGATTGTTAGAGATAAAGGGAGCCTCATTTGACTGCTTACCACACTCACCTGTTCTTTCACTTTAAACACCTGTTTATTGTACTTTATTCTAGACTTTAATATTCATACACATGTCACTTCTCTAAAAGTATTGTGTGTAATGCAAATGCTGCTTTGGAGTTGTTCACAAAAAAAATTTCTAGACTGAAAGGTTTGGGATTGAGAATTTATTCCTTTTTCTGGCAATGGTTGGAATTGAACTTGGGACCTAAGGTTTGCTACTCATGACTTGAGCCATGCATCAAGTCCTTTCATCTTAGTTTCCCGGCAGCTTTTGCCCTCCCTGACTTCAGACTGTGGTCTTCCTCTTCTCTGCCTCCTGAGCGGCTGCTCCTGCAGGCTGCACAGAGTGGAGGATTTTTAATGGTTACTAAGTAAAGTTTACTTTCTGACAACTCTGTGGCGCTCCGTTATCTGGGGAGAAAAAACTGCTAGTCTTTTATGAAAGTTTAGCTTCTTCCTGGGGAAGGCTGTTACCCCTGAGATTTACTAGGATTTACTGTGATAAACAGTGCTGTGATTAAGTCCTCATATTCAGATTAGTTGAGGTTGCAGTGAGGTAAGTGTTGGTAGTGAATTATCGTGCAGACAACACAAGAATGTGGGACAGGATGTGTGTGCTGGCTTTTGTAAGAGTGTTCCACAGTGGCAGAGTTGGAGCCATAACCAGACCAGCCATACATACCTAATTATGGCTGCCCTGCTTAGTTGTTTAGGAGTATGACATATACACGTGCGTGCGTGCACACACACACATATTTCTTTTTAAGGCTTACTAATGCTTAATAAATCAAGTGATATTTTATGTAGAAGTAGGTTAGGTAAAGTCCTGGGATGTGTCTGGGTAATGACTGTCTCGTCCTTTTCAGTGGTTTAGAAGAAAATACAGATTCATCTGAATCCGAGAGGTGGCACAGGTGGCAGATGCACATGTTCGCATTGGAAAATAACATAGGATGATCCTTTTTTGGGTGCCTTCATCTCCCTGTGTGCTTTATTACAGTGTGTCCCTACTTTTGGCTGTTAAGACGGTATTTTAACAGTCTCAGATGCAACTAGTTAGAGCATCTACTTTATAGACTCTACAGCCACATACAGACCCAAGGACCGTAGACCCTTGGTGTCTGTGGGTCGATGATTCTAAGGAGACCCTGTTGTATCCAAGAATTTCAGCAGCAACCTGCCTATTTATCAATTTAAATAAAATACAGGGAGACCCTGCAGAGGCTCAGAGTGCATGGAGGTTACTGAGAGCCTTTTCCTTTTGTGTGCATGTGGTGTTTGTTCTGGTTTGTTTTGTTTTACTTTTTGTTTTCCATTGTACTTAACCAAAAAGGTAGAATAAATCTACCAACCAGGCAAGCTTCCTACATAACCCAGGCAGACCAAGAATTGAGCTAGTTACCTTCTAACTTCGAGTTTGGACCATGTTTCACCACAAGAAGATGGCAGCTAGACACCCGAGTAGATGCACTGCCATCAGCGGCTCTCCCAGCATGAGCTCAGGCTGTTGTGCATCTTCTCTGAAGCTGTCCTTGTAACCCTTGTTGTATTCAGATTGTCAGGCTTGAGTAGGTTATACATGAAAGTCAGCGAGTGAGGGAGCAGGAGGGAGACTATGAGCTTTACATAGCTTCAAGTTCAGTCCCGCCCCCTGCTGCGTGGTCAGAACTGTTCTGATCATTCTTATGATGGTGATCTGTGCTTTGCACTATCATGTCTTGTATTCAGAATATGTTTAAAATATTTAAATATGCTAGGCACTGGTAGCTCATATCTATCATCCTAGCTGCTCAGGAGGCAGAGATCTGAGAATCACAGTTGGAAGCCAGTCCAGGCAGGAAAGTCCATGAGACTCTTATCTCCAGTAAGCCACCAAAAAGTCAGAAGTGGGGCTGTGGTTCATATGATAGAGCAGTAGCCTGGAGCAAAAAGCTCAGGGCCAGTTCCCCAACCACCGTGAGTTCAAGCCTAGTTCATTTTATAAAATGAAGCCTTAAAGCCAGCTGTGGTGAAATGGAGTTATGAATGGACAATCTGAGCACTCCTGCTCAGTTTTTAGAGAAAAGAAAAACTGAAGAACAGGAAGAGTAGCACGACGTAGAAACTGTAAGTCATGGCAGCGAGGATGAGCTCTCCGTGCCTTCTTTGGGCAGGGTCTCAGAGAACAGAAAGAAAAGAACCAGAGTGCCTTCTGTGTAATTCGGAACTGTGGACCATGCAGGGTAAGTGATGGCTGAGTTCAAAGTTTAGTTGTGAAAGATTGTTTGATTCAGCATGTTTTATTTAGACATGTCTGAAGATGGAAAAGGAGGTGCAAAGTTAAGGTTGTTCCAGTGACGTGTTAAGAGCCATGCGAGTGGGTGGGGAGCGCTCTGCTCATCGTGGCCATCCGATTGTGGCATGGTTTGCCTCCTAAGGTCATGGCAGTGTGGACGTGGCAGTGCAGAAACGGTCTTAGAGCGGCCTCGGCGCGCAGCCAGACCCTAGTGGCTGTGAGCTGTTGTAACTGGTGCTGTAGCACCCTGCAGCCAACACCACCTCACGTGGTCAGCACCCCACAGGTGATCTCTGGTCACACTTCCTGTAGGGAGCTCCTGAGTAGTAGTGTTTTATCAGCCGGGGTCACTGTTTTTCCTTGCAAGTGACCAAAGTAAAAAAAAACTCAAAATTTTCTTTCAAACTGGCCTGTTTTGATTTTATTTGTTTGATTGTCTATTGTGGGTCTGAACTCTGGGCCTAGGTGCTGTCCCTCAGCTCTTCAGCTCAAGGCTAGTGCTCTACCACTTGAGCCACAGCACTACTTCCTGTTGTTTCTGTGTATGTGGTGCTGAGGAATTGAACCCAGGGCCACATGCATGGAAGGCAAGCACTGTACCTCTGAGCCACCTTCCTAGCCCAATGCTTAATTATTGTAGACAGGTCCCTCATTGAGGACAAGTAGCCTAAATTTGACATGTAAGTTAGGAAAATAGGAAGTATTGTAGCATGATTAAACATAGTGGGACCTGCCTGTTGTCCCAGCATGAGGAGGCAGAGGCAAGGGGTCTGCAGGTTGAAGGCCAGCGGTAGTGTACCTGGAGAGACTCTGTCTTTAGAAACAAACTAAGGAATTGGTGGAGATTTCCATATGCCTACTTGTTCAGTCTGAGAACATTTTTGTTTGATAATGTTACTCTTATGTTTGTTATAATTAAAAAATAATATATTGTTAATCAGATTTCATGCAGCTCTCCTGAGCTCGGATTGCAATCCTTGATTGTCCTTAATCCTTGACTGTGTCTTCACAGGCCATCGAGAAGCACTGCCGAGTCAGCGGAGGGTTCTCCGGGGTCAAAGACGTGTACTCCCCCACTCCCACGCACGATGACGTCCAGCAGAGCTTCTTCCTGGCTGAAACGTTAAAGTAAGTGGAGCCAGTGCAGTTTTATAATTAAACTTACTTTTCCCTGGTAACAAAGTTACACCTATCAATGTTTTGATGCAGGAGTTCTGGTGTAATGTTTAAGTCAGGTTAACTGTGTTCAGACATTTATCAATTCCTTCTGGTGAAAGCTTTCAACATCTCTGGTAATGTCTGGTAATGTCTGCGGTGGCACACCAGAATGTTCTGCCCATGGGTCACTAGTTGTGGCTGGGTAACCTCGCCTGTCCTTCCTTTCCTCCCGCTCACCCGCCTGCCCTCCCCTCTCCCCATGTGTCTGACCCACAGCCAGGCCCTGCAGTCCTGTGCCCTCCAGCAGCCACTACCTTCCGCCCCGCACGATAGCTTAGTTCATACGCCTCTCAGATGACAATGCTTCACTGCTTTTGCTAACTGCCTACCTTGTGTTTCTATACTCCTTTACTTTAAAAAAAAAAAGGTAGACTCCTTTGCTCTATGATTGCTAGATAATGAATTATGTCTGTGATTTATTACACCACATTTTACTCTTAACTTTTCATAGAATTGTCAGTCTTGCGTTGCACTTCAGGAAGAGTGACTTGGACAAGGAAGAGATTTCATTGAATATTCAGTGCCTTTAAACTATTTTAGTCTCGCTCTTCCAGTGCACATTAGAATTCCTTCGGTGCTTCTGTTTTAGTGGGGAGTGGCAGGTATTTGTATTCAGGGCCTTACACTGGCATCAGGCAAGCACTATATCGTTTGAGTTACATCCTTAGACCTTGCTGCTTTATTTTTCATGTAGGATCTTGCATTTCTGCAGATGCTGGCCTCTGACCAGGAGCCTCCTATCTGCCTCCCTTATAGACGTGATTATAAGTGTGTGCTACTACTTCCAACTTGTTTGTCCTCTTATCTTTTTGCTCCAAGGGGCCTCAGAAGTTGCTCCTTCTTCCTTCCAAATGGCTGTGATGACAGGTATGAGCTCCTGTGCTCAGCCTTGGAAAGCTTCTTGCCACAGGGATAAGTTTAAGTGGGCACACGCACAGAGTTTTGGGACATCTGGGGTGGGACTAAGAATTTCCATTTCTGGGACTGGGAAGGTGGCTCAGTGGTAGAGTGCTTGCCTAGCATGCATGAAGCCCTGAGTTCGAGTCCTCAGTACCACACACACAGAAAAATCCAGAAGTGGCACTGTGGCTCAAGGGGTAGAGTGCTAGCCTTGAGCAAAAAAAGCTCAGGGACAGTGCCCAGGCCCTGAGTTCAAGCCCCAGGACTGGCAAACCAAAACAAAAAAGGTAATCTTTAAAGCCAGGCACCGGTGGCTCACGCCTGTAATCCTAGCTACTCAGGAGCCTGAGATCTGAGGATCGTGGTTCAAAGCCAGCCCGAGCAAGGAAAGTCCGCCACTCACTTTGAGCTGAAGAGCTGAGGGACAGCACCCAAGCCCAGAGTTGAAGCCCCACGACTGACCAAAAAGAAAAAAAAGAATTTCCATTTCGAACTCACTTCCTTTCCTTTTACTTATAAAAATAGTTGCTGGAGTTAGTGATAAGATTAAGGTGCACCTAATGTATAGTCATTAGCCTGCATTCAGCCAGCGGTCAGGGCAGTGCCACCTCCCACAGATACAACCCAAATTTGTGTTTCAGTAAGCAGACCATGCAGTGTCCCAGCAGATCTGGGAGCACCCACCTCCAACTGCAGCCTGGCCAGGAAAGTAGGTCCCGCAGGTCCCCGGTCTAGGATGAGAGAGTGAGATGGGGCCCTGTCAATCCCTGTTCAGCTCTACTTGTAAACCAGATGCCACATTCCTCTGTGCTGTGTTTGCGCTCTCATCTAGAACTCCTAACAGTAACCACATGCCTGTTTTGAAAAGAAGCTCTTCATCGAGCCTTTGTAAGGCCCAGCTGAGTATTGGTAAGGTCAGGCATTAGAGATCTAGATGCTCCTGGCTCACTCCTGTAAGCCTAGCTACTTAGGAGGCTGTTTGAAGCCAGCCCAAGCAGGAAAGTCTGTGAGATTCTAATCTCCAGTTAACAACCAAAAAGCTGGAAGTGAAGCTGTTCTTCATTAGCCTTGAGCAAAAAGCCAAGAAAAAGAGCAAGCCTCTGAATTCAAGCCCTAGTCCACTCTCTCTCTGTCTCTCTCTCTCTCTATCTCTCTCCCCCTTTCTCTTCTCTCCTCTCTCTCTCCCTCCCCTCTCTCTCTATCTCTCCCTCCTCTCTCTCCTCTCTCCTCTCTCTCTCCTCTCTTTCATATGCAGATTTCCTGGCTGTGTAGTGGCTTTTGTTTTGTCTCAATTTTGTGGTGCCGGGGATGGACCTGGAGTCTTGTGCATACATATTAGCCAGGTTTCTACAGCTGGCCGGCCCTCCCTCAACTTTATAGCTTTTGTGCACCTTGGTTGATGCCTGTAGGCAGGACACTGTGGTGAGGGCCATCAGGTAAGCTTCAGATGACTGCTGTTGCTCTTGGGGAGGTCGCCGCCCTGTCTTCCTCGGCACTGTGCTGTTACTTCTAAAAGCAGTTGCTCACCCTTCTAACCGACAGGTGCACAAAATAAAGACCAGGAAGCTGAAACCTGTTTTGTCGAGGGTCTGGTCAGGGGGAGGGACAGACACGGAGAGGAGAGGAGGGGAGGGCGAATGCCATTGTAACATTCAGTGTCTGTGAGTGAAAACCAACCCGGGCCTCTTGAGAGCTGAGCAGGGTGGGGAGATGGGAAAGAAGATGCCCAAACCTCACAGACTGACAGTTGAATTGCAAAAAAAAGTTACTAAACCTTCTAGAAAGATGTTTCTAAAACTGCCTTAATAGCTTGCTATGCCAAAAACTGTAAGTACCAATGTATTAGGAGCAGAGTAAAAGCTTTTCTGTATTCCAATAATACACTTGACTTGGTTTCCTCAGTGTTGGTTATTAAGAAACATGGGTTCATGGCTAGCTGTACCATGAGCTCTGTAGGCAGTCACAACTTGTGATTGGCACTATATTTTTTTTTTCTTTTTGGGTCCAGTTGTGGGGCTTGAACTCGGCCTGGGTGCTGTCCCTCAGCTCTTCAGCTCAAGGCTAGCGCTCTACCACTTGAGCTACAGTGCCACTTACGGCTTTTTTTTCTTTTTGCTTATGTGATGCTGGGGAATTGAATCCAGGGCCTCAGGCATGCAAGGCAAGCACTGTACCACTGAGCCACCTGCCCAGCCCACTCTATTTTTTTTTTAAAGAATACCTTTGAAGAATTATGAAGGGCTTCGCTTTGTGCCATTTTTTATCACATTGTTTCCTATGCTCTAGGTAGGTGTGTGGATTTCTTATTCATTTCAGCAGGTCTGGCTGTGGTCTTCCCAGGTTTCTCTACATTATTTTCTGGAGCAGTTTTTGTGTTTTAGGTTGTCTGGGTTACTTGAGTTTCCACCATGTATTTTCCATCAGTTGCTCAAAATAAGCTCCCTGTTTTCTCTGCTGTTATTACAGAGCCTCTCTGGTTGCTTGCTGCATTCTAACCAAAGCTTGTCTCTGCCCTTTTCTCCAGATACCTGTATCTGCTGTTCTCCGGTGATGACCTCCTGCCTTTAGACCACTGGGTATTCAACACCGAGGCGCACCCGCTGCCAGTGCTGCACCTCGCCAACACCACGCTGGCAGGCGAGCCTGCGGTGCGGTGAGGGTGGGCGCGCTCGCTGGGCTTTGTTTACATGGACCGCTGCAGAGACTGGTCTGCAGAGGCGGCCCTCGAAAACCCGGACCTCTGCGTCCACTTGGACAGGGACGCTCTTCCCCATGGACTTTCCAGCTTGTAGATATATCAACTTTGAAAATTATTCCATTTTATACCTGACCAAAACATGTGCCGGCACGTGCCGGATGGAGAGCCCATGTGCTTTGATTCTGAACGTGCTGGTGACCTGATCACAGGGCCTCGTGCTATGCTCAGCCAAACAAGCCACCAGCACCGAGTACCGGGCCAGTGCTGCAGGCGGACCCACGCATCCCCTCCTTCCTCACAGCTCCGAGTGGCTTCACAGCATATATTTCCCATTGCTTGTCCCTTTTGCTCCATTTTGATAAAGGAATTAAGCAAGCTAAACAAAAACAACAGCAACAGAAAACCCACAGTGTAAGCGCCACTGCAGTGAGGTCGGGCTGACTCAGGAAAAGGACCAGAATTACCTATCCCACTCTGAATTTTCCAGCTCCCAATTGGATAACCAGACTGGCAGCCACTTCAGTCCCCATCTATGTCATTGAAATTCCCTGGTTGAATCCGATCTACGGTGGGCAGCCTCGCAAAGTCCTCTCCAAGTCATCTCCACGAGTGTGTGCCGGAGCCACCTGCGGGTGTGGCCTGGGGCTTGGTCAGAGGTTCGGTCTGGTGTTGGAGCTCGACGGGCTTGACGGGAAGTGCAGGAGGTGCTGGCTGTGGCCCTGAACACTGTTCCTGTAGGAATTCTTGGTTCTTCTAAGCCAAGTCACTTAATCTACTTGATTCCCCTGATACTGCTGGTTGGTGGTCACACATCTTCCAGCCTTGCTTCAGGGGCTGGGCCGAGTTCACCACGCTGCTGTGCAGCCCTGAGCTACTTCTGCACGGGCCCTCCACCAGGGACGAGGACAGAGCGTCTTCTATTTATTATCTCATCACATCGGTGAGAGGTTCACCAATATTTTGTCTTTTAGTTTCTCTGAGAATATTTATATACATCCAAAGAGTTCATGAGAATAGCTCCAAAACCATTTTCAGTGCTAAGTGTATGGTGTAATTAATCATATCCCTCCAACCGGGGAATGGACCAGACCCTATCAGACTTTCTCTTACCATCAGATTTCACATTAATCTGTCTTTATAAAGAAATGACTATTTCTTTATATTTTGTTAGAATAAAACTTAAATTATGAGAAACTATAATGTAAGAAAATTACTAATGCTTATAAAATCTCTGTCCCTTGAATTTCTGTGACAATGCAAGACATTTTTTCCTATTTTCATTTAATACCGACATCTTCTACTGACATGAATAAAACTTGGAACCAATACAATTAAGCTAGTATTTACTCTGAATGTAAGTGTCTCATAAAGCAGAGTTGTCCAGGAAGCCTGCTTTGGGATTCTGAAGACTTAACTCCTCATCTTAAAGTGTTTCTTTTTAACCTCTGTTAGCCTGTAGGAGTTTAATAAATGGACATGATTAAACATTTTTAAACATCTTACACCACAAATCATCAAATGACTCCCACAGTTTATTCGATGATCAGTAAGTGATAGCTACCCCCCACTGTCAATACCCACAGAAAAAAAGGACTGAAAGCCAGTTGTATTCAGTTTTTAAGAGGGTTAAATTTCAGCACATTCTCAGAAATTGTAATTTTTTATTACTTGAAAATTAAAAGCTGTGGCATGAGAAGATGGATTGCAACTTCTTGGGAAGAGAAGAATTCTCAGAGTAGAGAGAAAAGAGCACACATGACACCCATCAGTGGAAAGTGAGTTGTCCAAGGACCACTGTCTGGACAGTCCCAGCAAACCCTCCCTTTGGTCAGAAGAATGGGGGGCGGGGTCTCTGCAGCCCAGAGAGGGGGTGGGTACCCTCTACCGCTGGGCCACTTCCGAATCCAGCGAGCCAGTCCGCTTCCCAGGGCAGGGCCCACCCCACTCCTACCTTCTTTGTGTTAAGAAGGCGTGGGCCTCTCCTGTGCTTTTTCTCTGAAACACCAAAGGCCGTTCAAGCCAGGTACAAGTGACTTGCCAGGTCATATTTAAAATCATTTCCTCCAACATCGGTCCTGTCCTCTGTCCCTGAGTTTTCAAGGGCACTTATTTCTCCTCTTTCCTTTTTGCTCTTTGTATTTTATGGCCCTCATCGAACCTCATGGCTCAGGCTCAGTACTCGCCTAGGAGAAGCTGGCCCAGGAGCCAGCGGTCCCTGGGCTCACTCCGCCCTGCGTCTGGAGAAGACCCAAAAAGTTGGAAAAGGAGGCATTGTGGAGCATGTGGTGAATGTGGAGCTTCTCTGCGTGTTTCTTTTAGAATCACACTGTTTGCTCCACACCACCTTTTAAACATTCAACAATATGAAAATGTTGAAGAGAATGAGGCTCTAACAAAAAAACGGTTGTTGTTTTTTTTCTGCGTAGGAAAATAAGTTTATTCCCTGGCTGGGTGTGGGGTGTCTTGCCTACTGGTGGGGTGCACCCACATTTCCTGTCATTGGCCGAGGCAGCATGGAAGAGGACAGGCTGAGGTGAAGACACTGGTCCCCGTGGCGCTCGCCCTGATTCTCTGTTATCGCTGGGAGCCTCTCAGGCCCTTCCTCCCTACGTGCTGAGCGGTCCCAGCTCTGGGCCAGAGCCTCTCACCCCTCTCATTTGCCAAAGTCTTTGTCAGACCTTTACGCTCATTACTAACACCTGTGCTTGCCATGCTCCGAGTGGGCGCTTCTCTCCATGAGAGGAGGGAGGGGGAGAGAGATCAATATCAGTCGGAAGCACATGGATTCCAGGTTTGTGCCAGAACCTGTGCCTGGTTCTTGGAAAGGAGAACATCTGAAGAGAAAGAGAAAAGGTTTATAATGTATCTTAAGCATTGTGTTACTATATAATACTGACAATTGTAGCGATAACTAAGAGTCTCTTGGAAAAAAAAATGTCAAATATGTGTTTTCTGATGCACCTTTGACTAAAATATTGACTTTAGAAATAAAAACATTTTTATTTTGCTATATCGATTTTAATCACATGATTCAGTTGCTGTTTTTAGAAGTGCTGGTTATTTATATTCGAGAACTATTTCATCATTTCCCTCACGGGCCAGCCTTGCCGTTGTGAATGCTCTTTGCTTGGGCGGGCTTCCTGCTCGTGGCTGTGTTCATGCATTTCCAAGTTCCGGGTAATAGTTTGCAGTAGTAATGTGTTGAGTCCTTTTCCTTTAGATTCCTTTACACTCAGCTTGGTGGCTCCTGTCTTCCCTGCTGTCTGCATAGATACATAGACACAACGGTATGTGTTCTTCATGCTGGTAGTGAAAAAACACAGTTGGTCACTAATGTGGGCTACCTAGGTTATAAACAGAATATTTAAGGACGTGGGGGCCAGAAGTAGTGTGACCCACCACGGTAGGCATGGAAGTGGTTCTGAGCTGCGTAGTCGGCAGGCTTGTCTGTGTGGGGTGTGTGTGTGTGTGTACCGAGTACATGGGGAGGTAGGCATGGAAGTGGTTCTGAGCTGCGTAGTCGGCAGGCTTGTCTGTGTGGGGTGTGTGTGTGTGTGTGTGTGTGTGTGTGTACCGAGTACATGGGGAGGTGGTGTTGCTGTCAGCCATATCTATTGAGATTTGGAAGCATGTGCTATGGAAATGACTGGGTGTGTGAGTTCCAGTTAATTTTGCTTTGAAGAACACATCTGTCATGAAGGGCTGATTCAGCCTAAGGTTCCGGTTGCTGACCTTGATTCCACGTGTAAATTTGTGTGAAACCCTCTGACCTTCGGGCTTCTCTCTGGGGTTCTCCCTTCATATCCAAGCAAAATAACATGTCGGGTCGCATTGTATGTGTTTGTGTTAGCCTGAAATGACATTTTGTTGTCAGAAGAGTCCAGAGAACCAGAATAAGGTGGCTGCCCTGAGCCCTAACTCCCTGTGTTAATAGTTGTAGAAGCTGTAGCAGAAAAGGCTGTGTGGCATCAAACACATGCTCTCGGTTCTGCATGTGCACAACCCCCTGAGTCAGGACCCCACGCAGCTCACGCTGCAGAAATTTACCCACGTGAACCTCCTGGAGATGAGATCCCGGACAAGAATGTGGGTTTTGTTTGTTTTTTCTGGTGCGGGTGCTGGGGCTTGCACTGAGGTCCCGAGCACTATCGCTTAGCTTTTCTTGCTCAAAGCTGGCATTGTTACCACTTGAACTACAGCTCCACTTCTGGGTTTTGGGTAGTTAGTTGGAGATAGAGTCACTTCTTTGCCTAGGCCGGCTTTGAACCATGATCCTCAGATCTCAGCCTCCTGAGCAGCCAGGATGACAGGCGGAGCCACCTGTGCCTGGCGCTCACAAGTGATCAACATCTCAGTGCTGCAGACCCCAGCCTTTGGGGAAACCAGGTCGCAGAACGAAACATGGGCCTCGTGGCTTCCTTAAGAACAGCGCTAGACAGTAGGGGCTCTGCCTCTCCCTCAGAGGCCTAAGTCGGAGGACCGCCAAGAAAAGTGGCTCATGGGCCGTTTAGGGCTGCTCTCTACCTCTTTCCCTTTACAACTACAGTGTCTTCATTGTGGTGGCCTGCAGGCACGCACGCATGCACAAGTGTGTATGTGTGTGTGTGAGCAGTTAAAACCTCCAGTCCTCCAGTCCACACGTTCTCCATAACAACGAAGCCACTTTCAACTCAGTTTGAGCCTTGCAACCATGGAACTCCTAAAACTGCCAAGTTCTGCAACTCCACGTCTCAAGTGGACACCAACCTCACGCCATGCGACAGGAGAGATTTACTCTGTGTGTGTTGGGGGGTGGGGTTGTAGAGGAGGGACAGGCAAGGTGGAGGAGGGGGTAACAGTGTCCCTTCTGCCACAATATCATGCGACCTGCTCTGAGGTCACGTGCGCTCAGCGCAGCTGTGAGCTGTGGGGCTCGGGCAGGCCCTGCGCTTCTGTTCAGCCCAGCAGGGGCTGGAATGTTGCGAAGGTCTCCCCCCAAATTTCACAGCAACGGACTTGGCTCTCAGGGGAGGGAGACCAATCCGGAAATTTGTTTTTGCTGGGTGAAGGTCGCCCCAATTTTCCTCGCCGGATTTGGGAGGTGAAATGCTCATCTCAAATTCACCGGGACAATCTCCCCGGGCATCCTAAGTGGGTGAGTGTGACCTCGATCCCACACGCCTCAGCTGCTCTCCGGGATGGCGCTTCCACACACAGTGTGTTCTACTAAAGATCCTCTTTCCTTCTCACCCACGCGTGACCGGTGTTCATCTTCTAGCCGCATACAGGAGTGGGGAGGGGGAGCGGCTGTTGTTCACAGTAACTCGTCTCCCATACTCCCAGTTTCGCTTGCTTCAGCCTGTCTGGGCTTTCCTTGAAGTTATGGAAAGATGGAGAACAGCCAGCGGGGTGGGTGGGAGTTAATTCCAATTGGTTTTTTAACAAAACACTAGTGTGTTTGCTCTGTTTCTGTGCATGTTTTCCCTAAAACTGTATAGCCGTCCTCTCTGAGAACTTAGAAATGATGGAGCCACACTCAGTGGCTCATACCTATCATCTCAGGTAGTTGAGAGACAGACATCAGGAGGACTGTCTGTCCTCCTGTCTGTCCAAGGCCGGTCTGGGTAAAAAGCAAGCCCTCCATCTTGGCCACTATGCTGAGTACAGTAGTGCCCACTGTCATCTAGCTTTTTTTTTTTTTGTCAGTTGTGGGACTTGAACTCTGGGCCTGGGCGCTGCCCCTCAGCTCTTCAGCTCAAGGCTAGCGCTCTACCATTTGAGCCACAGCGCCACTTCTGGGTTTTTCTGCTTATGTGGTGCTGAGGAATTGAACCCAGGGCCTCATGCATGCAAGGCAAGCGCTCTACCACTGAGCCACCTTCCCAGCCCTCATCCTTTGCTTTTCAGGAAGTGGAGGTCAGAGGATCATAGTCCAAGATGGACTATAGGGAAAACCAATGCAAGTCCAAAATCCCGAGTTAAAACCCAGTGCCACCAAATAATAATGCATGAGAGGAATGTTTTGATGCACGGGCAAAGCTGGGGTTAAGGGTCATGAGAGAATCCAGTCAGCCGGGCTGCCAAGTGAGACTTGGTTTACCTTGTACCAGAAGGCATTGGTGCCATGCTCAAACTTCTGAAACGGTGGGTTTACCTCAGTGATAAGCCATTCTTCCTATCACAGTGGATGCCACCTTGCTTACAGCGTTAGACTATGGGCGTGTGACATTGTATCAGAATAGTGGGCTTAAATTCTCAGGAGCCACTGAGAAATTTTAAGAAGAAGAAGCTGATTTGCTAAAGGCCTGGGCCTGTCTGCTTTACTCCACACACATCTCACTAAGGTGCCGTTCACGTTCCCATGAAGACTCGGTTCTCCTAGCTCCTGAGAGCTAAGGATGGCGTCTCAAAGCCAGCCTGGGCAGACAGGTCTGTGAGACCTTTATCTTCAGTGAGAAGTGGAGCTGTGGCTCAAAAGGTCGAGGGCCAGCTTTGAACATTAAAGCCAAGGGAGGGCGCTAGGCCGAGAGTGGGCTGGGCATGGGATGCTCAGCACAGTGGAGGTGTCGCGGTGACGGCCCCACTGTTGGCCAGAGCAGGGGCTACGCTCACTGTTCACACTGCTGGCTGCCAGGCTGGGAAGCAGGATCTATATCCATTGCATCCAAAGTGGCTGCGCGTGAGACTTCACTCACTCATTTGGGGGGGGGGAGAGGGGGACTGTTTACAAGGCAAGCGCTCTACCACTGAGCCACCTTCCCAGCCCCAGGGGGACTGTTTACAATCGAGACAACGAAAGCGCACCAAACCATCATTCTCCACAGCCTTTAACTGAACAGCTAAAGCTGAGCGCCTGCCCTGGCGCTCTATCTTTTCTTCTATGAACAACTTAAGGAGCCAAATGAACTTTTGAAGAGAAGAGAAACACCATTTTAAACAGCATTGAACAGCCGGGCGCTGGTGGCTCACCCCTGTCATCCTAGCTACTCAGAAGGCTGAGATCTGAGGATCGAGGACCAAAGCCAGCCCAGGCAGGAAAGGCCATGAGACTCATCTCTAATAAACCACTCAGAAAACCAGAAGTGACGCTGTGGCTCAAGTGGTAGTGTGCTCGCCTTGAGCTGAAGAGCTGAGGAACAGTGCCCAGGCCCAGAGTTCAAGCCCCACCACCAACAAATAAAGAGGAAAAAAAAAAAAAAAGCACTGAACAACTAGTAACGTGTGGAAGTGAACATGAAGGAGAAAGCCCAGCACCCGGAGCAGCCATTGAAGGGAGGAGACTTGCCAAGAAGGAAGAATATCTGGGACCTGGAGCTGCTCCAGCATGCATGCACACTGCAGGGAGCCCCCCCCCGTCCATGCCCCTGCCCTCCACGGGCTGTCCCAATAGGCAGCAGCAAGCCTCCAGCCCCCTCAGCTTGGGTCTCCTTACCATCCTCCCCTGCTGTGGAAATCTGCACCAAGTGGTGGTTAAAAGGAAACTGAGGCACGGGGCCTCGGAGGACGAAGCTTGCACATGTGCACATGTAGGATGCAGGGTGTTGTAAGCAGGTGTTGGGAGCGTGACAGCGTGCAGGAATCAAGTGAGGGGGATGGGGTGCGTGGCCGGGGGAGGCCCCACGCCACCTCTGGAGCCCCAGCCCCAGCCTGTGTGCTCAGCAGCCCCAGCCTGTGCGCTGATCTCTGCTGACGGAAGGAGCTGGAGTCCCCGGCTTCTGGGTTTAGCCTGGCTATTCCAAGCCGGGAAGCCCAGAGTGGGCCCACGCAGGCCTGCACAACCTTCCTTTCCCAGCCATGGCAGCCATAGCGTGGGGAACGTGGGGCTGCCTGGCTTTTCCAGTGCAGAAGACAATTCTGGCTCTTTAGACAAGAGGAATTGTGAAGCCGGGAGGGCTGGGTCTGGAGGATGTCTACCCTAGAGATGGGTGCACCCTGGCCCTCGAGAGCCCAGGCCACTGGACCCTGAGCAGAATCCCTGCTGTCCGCCGTGGGGGGCCCTCTGCAGGCCGGCCCCACCCTGTTGGTTCTGAG